AAGGGAGGGGCACGAGCTGCTGCCCACCTCCAATGATGGAGCCACAAACGGCCCATTCCAAGATTCCGCGAGTGCCCCAAACAGGAATTCTAAGAGCCTATCCAACTACCAGGCATTCACGCCTACTCCAGTCAGGGAGGATACCCGGGAGCATCCCAATAAATCATACCCCGCAAGAGAGCTGGCACATAATCCCCAGAGTTGGCCTGACCTTACCCCAAGTCCTACAGGGGGTCAAACATACAGGGAGGTGGTCGAGGAACCAAGTCCCGACCGCAACACCTCTAGCCCAAATCAGGGAGTAACTGAGTTTTGGGAAGGTACAGAAACCCACACGAGCCCGGACACAGAACAGGGTTTAGGGAATGGACAGCCTCCTGACAGGTCTTGGACGGACCTAGGAGGTTCTACAGAGATGCCCAGCAGTGGCTATCACTTCAAGGGGCCCGAGGGCCTACAGCTAGGCAGGTCAACCAGGTCACAAAGTGACAGAAGCCCTGGCCTGACGAGCCCGGTGGGCGAGCGAGCAGGCCAGGCATTGGGGCACAGTCCTTGGAAGGCACCAAGGCATGATAAGGAGAACAGGCTCACGTCTCCCCTCAGTCAGGGAACACCTGTCAGAAACCCAGAGCTGAGAAGGTCACAGAGAGCAAGGAAATCTCCTAAATACTTAGAGAATTACATAACATTGCTGGCCAAACAAAAGCCAGTAAACAGTAGAAGCACTGGGGAGTAGAACATTGCATCAAGAAATAATTGTATGTTGGTAGTAGTCTTAACCTGGGAGAAAGGGGTGTTATGTCCCGAGCCTTGCAAACGGGCTCGGGGCATTTGCAGGCAGTCCCGGGCAGGTGCAAGCTGCCCGGGACCAGACAGGCTGTCGCCAGCGCCTGTGCGCATGCGCGGGTGCTGGCGCGGGAAAAGTAACACATTGACCCAGGAATTGCCTATATAAGAGGCTGGGAGCTTTTGGGCGTTGCTGAAGCCTTCACCTGTAAGCTGAACACAGAATAAAAGAAAACCTGAGAACTACAACTGCTTCTCGTGTCTGCTTTTCGCCAAGGACTCAACAGAGTGCACTCACAGTGTTCTCCGAGGAGCTGAAAAGCTTTCTGGACGGAGCTCCTCCCTTTGCTGCGTCTCTGCAGGAAGCAGGAAGCAGGAAGGGCAGGAGAGAGCTAGCTAGCCCAGCTAGGCTGACTCAGGAATTCTGGGAATTGAAGTCCATGAGTCATAAAAGAGACGAGGTTGCCCACCCCTAGCTTGTTGGACAACAGTTTGAAGCTTGCCAGGTGAGCAGCAGATAGGAGGGGGGGGGAGAAAGAGAGAGAGAGGGAGGGAGAGAGAGAGAGAGAGGAAAGAGAGAGAAAAAGAAAGAGAGTGGGGGAAGAGGAGTGGCAGACCAAGGGCAGATAGGGAGGGAGGGAGAGAGACAGAGAGAGAGAGAGACCCTTTTGACATCTAAAATGAAGATAACACTGCATATATCCTTTTTTTACCTGTGTGTGTATGTAATTTTATTCTCTTAAAGCATTCTCTTGGTGATCATTGTTTTAATGGTATGAATATTCCCAAGAGTCATATTTTTACTTTTATTTTTAATGTGTGTGTGTGTGTATGTATGTATGTATGTATGTATGTATGTATGTGTGTGTATTACACACACACACACACACCTATAATAAAGGTAAAAAAGGATATATGCAGTGTTATCTTCATTTTAGATATCAAAAGGGTTTTGCGGCTCCCGGTGTTTTGTTTTTGGTGGGAAACAGGTCCAAGTGGCTCTTTGAGTGTTTTGGGTTGCCTACCCCTGCACTAGACCAAACTGTATCACGGCAGTATTGAAACTGCCAGAAGAGCAGGCACAGTCAGAAAGTTATCATGTGCAGGGTATTATTTATTTCTTTAAAATACAAACACAAATTTCAAACCATCACATTATATAGCTGATAACTAGAATTAGTTGTTTTGTGAGATGGGCGGCTATATAAATTTTGAAAAAAAAAATAAAATGCTGAAATTCAGGTGGCTTTTATTAATTTTAGAACTAGATAATTAATATACTCTGTTGGAATATCAATGATTTTGTAAAGCAGTGCAGGTGTAATGTAACAATTTGTTTTTTAAAAATAAGTGTCAGATTTGGCAAAGAATTTCTACATAAAATGTGACTTTTCAGGATCTTAGGATTGGAATTGAGAGTGCCAGGCTGGAATGAATAAGACCATTTGCATGTTTTATTGGATCTGCATAGTTATTACTGTTTTAAATATGCATTCAGCCATAAAGGATAGTCTTATTACAGAAGAAGAGAACTTCTCATCACCTTAACAGGGACTCTATAATTAGAGCACAACCTGTGCACTCAACTCCCAGAATTCCTCAGCTATTACTGAGAATTATGGGACTTGAACCATGTATCCAGAAGTGGCTGGGATTGGGGAATTCTAGCTTAGAGAATCCTAAGTAATAGAGCTGAACTCACTTTTTACTTAGTGCAATGTCCAACAGTTTTCTCTGGCTTTATTAATAAAAAAAACTTTATATTTCTGTTCTCTTCTACACCAGGACCCTGAATGCTATTAAACTGGAAGCAATGTTTTTGGTTGTTCAAAGCTGGTACAGACCAGCATTTCCATCATTTCTGAACAGTCTACAAATACCATCTTAATACTGAGTCTGAGTAGCAGACCTCATGGCTGGAAGATGGGGAGTGTAACCTTTAAGTTTTCCAGTTCTCTATATTTTGCAATATACTGCTTGAATTTAACTTACAAGTTTGTAGATTGTTTTACATTATTTTAGTTGATTAGTTAATATAGCAGAATAAAAAGAAAAATTTAAAAAATACTGAAAAATCATAAAATGCCAGGCGACTAGATCAGCCCCAAATCTTCCTCTACTCTCTTGGCTGATAATAAGAAGCAATAAGGTATCATTTTTAAAGTGCACTTTTTCCCACTACTGACTCTCTAAACATCCTTAGTGGAGGTTAAGCATGACTAAGTTGTTACATGTTTACTGGCAAAGTAGATGTCAACCTTGCGAAGTAGACAAGACAGGAAGCATGGCCAAATCAGCTAATTCCATTTAATTGTACAGTTGCATCAAGAGAATTCTGCCTGGCTGAAAGTACATTTCTCCCCATATCCTCTTTATAGTCTAAGAAACAATGGAGAGTCCCTTCTGAGCTACTTGGCCCATCCCCATTCCTGCTGTAGGCTAAGATGGCTTTTATCTGACTGTTCCCCTGGCTACTTCTCTTCTCTCTATTTCCCAAGGTCAATCCCACATACCATTACAATAAGGCTTTTTGCTAATGGTAAAGTTTACATTGTAATCTAAAACATCGATGAACTAAAAGTATAGTTACTTTTTCTCTCAATTCCCTTTCTCTTCTCCTATGACAGTGTTTCCCAAACTTGACAATTTTAAGGCATGAGGACTTCAACTCCCAGAATTCCACAGCCAGCAACGCTGGCTGTGGAATTCTGAGAGTTGAAGTCCACATGCCTTAAAATTATCAAGTTTGGGAAACACTGTCCTATGATAAAAGATTTGTCAAAGTTATGAGAAAGTACTGTATCTCCTGTAGTGAAATTCTACTTACCAGTTAACAAGAGAACAGTATGTATTTAAGATTTGGGTGTTTTTGTGACAGACCTGTGGAAAGGTGCTGACTCCTATAAGCTACTGCAGTTGTTTAGTGATTATCACAGTTCAGTAGTAGCACGAACTTATTTATTTGATTTTTATCCCACCTTTATTACCTTAGAAGTAACTCAAAGTGGCAAACACAATAATATTTTTTCCTTGACCTATTTTCCCCACAACAATCCTGTAAGGTGGGTTGGGCTGAGAGAAAGTGACTGGCCCAAAGTCAGCCAGGTGGCTTTCATTGAATGCTTTTAAGCCAATGCCTCTGTTGAGTCCCTGATATACACATGTTGGGAGTAAGGCTGGCAAAATCAAAATGGCTGTGCCAGTGAGTTCACTTGGGCTACACAAGTCCACTCAAAGTCCAGTGTCCCTATTGCCACTACTAGCTAATTGAGCCACAACAGTTAACTCCTGGACCTTCTCTATATGCTTGAATTTATTGTCCACATTATAGGTTAAATCCTCTTTTCCACTAAGAATATTTTTTGCTTTCTGAACAGAGATCACTTTTTTCCTTAATTGTGTGGGGTAAAACATGACAAACACATGCTAATCAAAAATGTAAGGAAATGAAAACTGAAAGAGAACATTAAAGCTAGTTTTTCTTTCTACAATAGCAGGATGCAGGAGGTTCTGTTCCTTTAAGGGTTTTTGAAAAGAAAACAACTGTATTTCAAACTGGGGATAAATAACCACAGTGGGAATACAGTACGAAAACATGTATATACACACGCATATAAATTGTAAGATAAACTATAGCCATTGTTTATTAATGTGTTATGGTCATGCTAATTCTAGAGTTCAAAATCTGTTTTGATTAAAGGCATTCATTTGGAAAAAGCACATGCCTCTGTTTCAGTTCAGTTCTCAGTTCTATTATTATCTTATTATTTCTGCAACAAATCCTGAGAGAATATCACCATGGCTCTTTTGGAGATAGCATTTCAGTAAACAATTCCGTCTAACTCTCTAAGAACAAACATCAACCAACTCAGTACAACTGAAATTAAAAGGACATATACAACTGTTGGTAAGGCAGCAAACAGCCTTCTGCTAACATATTGACCCTCTGCAGCTGAATACGCCCAAGCATTGTTTCACATTTGAAATAGCCCAATGGGACCCATTGACAGGATATGGCCAATGATCCTTGTCGGACAGCAGCTTCTCTCTCTGTGCCAAAGGAAAAGTTCGCTCATATCCATGTGAAAATCATCCTGCTACTTTATGACTAGCTGTGCCTTCCCAGTTCAGTACCAAGTTTCTGTCAAACACACAATATGGGGATATAGCGCTATGAAAGACAGATTCAGAAGCAAAAAGATGCTTTGAGTTACCTCTGCAATCATGACGACAATGACAGAATCTTCCTTCTCCTGCTGGTTGAGCTCGGAGATCAAGGAGTTCAGGGTATCTGTCAAATATGAATGGACTTCCCTTTTGACACTGGGGATTCCCATGACTATTGATACTGTAAAGGAGCAAAACAAAGCAGATGTGAAATTATCTCGCTAACAATCAAACACTTTCGCACTATCTCATACCACTTTCAAACGGAGTTCAGTTCTCAGTTCTGTCAGTTGACCTATATTCTTGGATATGAACTAATAAATAAGGACATTCTATGTCAGTCATTGCAGCAGTTGCAAGGAAAATTGTTTTTTTTTTAAAGACAGTGTTTAAAAAAACAAAAAACCTGAAGAGAGACTCAAGAAGAAAATCTTAAATTTTATATTTCAAAGTGTTAAGTTCTGCAATATCACTCTTATGATGCCCTTTTCATTTATGCTCTGTTAGACTGGTTGATAATGCAATAACCAAGCAATTATGAGTTACTTAACAATGCAGTGCCCTGACTTAAAAATCCTGACTTAGCATTGGATAGGAATTCAGCAACTCATTGGGGAGGGAAGAGAAGGATGAGAACAAGATTGGTTGGGGATGAAGCAAGGTGCAGAGACACCTAGATAAGAAAGGAAAGAAAAGGCAAACACTGTTTAGGCCAGCGGTTCTCAACCTGTGGGTCGCGACCCCATTTGGGGTCGAACGACCGTTTTACGGGGGTCGTCAAACAACGCAGTCTGCCATTTTCCCCCCTTTTCCTTAGCTGTGCTACTCCCTTTTATTCTATTGGCTTTTGAAAGCCAATAGAATAGACTCTCTTGAATAGAGTCTAATTCTATTGGCTTTCAAAAGCCAATAGGAATTGTCCAGGCGGTCTCTGCCCTGCTGGGCCCGCCAAAAGTCCTATTCTGCAAACGGTGCTGCAAGTTGTCTGCAACGAAGGCGAGCTGTCTGGAAGTTTCCACCCCTCCCTGCTGAGCAACTCAATACTAAAGCAATTCACAATCTGAATGATATTGTTTGTGTTCACACACATGGTAAACTATAGGTTTTTTTTAAGCATCTCTGTAGAATAAAGCGTAATTGCTTGGGACTATATATATACTCCAAGGACTCTAAGTTCATACAGAATCTTAAACCAAGGATTTTAAAACTTTGCGATACTCAATCCTCAAAATGATAAATGGATTTGTGTAATTCTCTTGCTAAGAATAGAATTAATAATTTTATGGAGATTTTATGGATAATTTTAAGATATCTCTATATAGCCTATTTAATTAAAATGTATTCTATATACCAAATATAACAATGATAAAACATTTTTAAAAATTAAAGTTTCATTGGATTTTTTAAGTCAAAATTTATAACTATATATTTTTATATTGTATAACTGTATTTTTCAATGACAAGGAAGAGCTTGCTTATTTTTGCATAATTCCTGAACTCTGAGTAGTACTTTGAAAACAGCTATACTTATTTTTCCTATTCCACATTTGTTTTTTATCAATATTTTTTTTCTTGATAGTACCAATTATAGAGAACCCTAACTTGCATAACTAGGAATGTTATGCAAAATTTTAAGCATTACATGTACACTTGTAGCTGTCTTCTTACCACCCAAAAAAACCTTTTCAGTTTTTAAAGCCTAAGCGTTTAAAATAGCAGATGAAAATGCCAAAGTTCTTGAAGACATATGCTTCTACTGAAAATCTGAAGTTTGTGGATATACTAGCATCAGTAATACTGTTGGGGATTGCTAAGAGGAACTGAACAAAATGAGTTTCTGTTACTTAAATAACCATTTACAGGGTGTAGTATTACAGGTAGTGCTTGACTTACAACAGGTCACTTAATGACCGTTCAAAGTTACAATGGCACTGAAAAAAGTGACTCACAAATATTTTTCATAATTACTACTATTGCGGCATCCCCACGGTCATGTGATTTATATTCAAATGCTTGACAACCGACTCGCATTTATGATGGTTGCAGTGTCCGGGGATCATGTGATCGCCTTTTGCGACCTGCCTACAAGCTAAGTCAATGGGGAAGCCAGATTCACTTAACAATTGTGGCAAGAAACGTCGTAAAATGGGACAAAACTCATTTAACAAATGTCTCACTTAGCAACAGAAATTTTGGGCTCAATTGTGGTCATAAGTCGAGGACTACCTGTATTGTAATTTTAAGGAGCATTTTGCCTCTGCTAAGAAAAGGAGGTAGATAGACAAATGTAGCAATACGGAAAAGTGCACACTCAACTGCTATCTCTGAGGCAAAACTCTTTATGCGTTGTGACTAAACTGCTCTTGATCCCCATGGGGGACGTGACCCAGTTTGAGAGCTCCCACCTTAAGCCATAAACAAACATAGTTCAGCACAGCGTGTTGTGGGACTCCAGCTAGGATTAGGAAAGAATAACCACTGGACTGGGCACCCACTTACCTCCAGTGCGCCCTTGTCCCAGGTGAATTGCTGGCTGCAGGCTGTTCTCCTTTGACAACAAATGTGGCAAATGATGGAAGATGGTTGGGAGGTGCAGCACATTCTTGTTAGTGATATTCCACAGTTTTAGTTTTGTTTCATCTGGGGGAAAACAGGGGAACCCCTGGATGATATATTCAACCCATTTTGCTGGACAAAATTCATTTCATACATTGTCTAGTGGATTGCCATAACCATTTTGTGAAATAGTACAATCTTTTTTATTTGTATCTTCTAATTTCATTAATTTTAACATGAAGTACCTCCTATGCTTCACTCTTCCTCAGGCTGTTTTGAGAGAAGGGAAACAGAAATTTATCAAATCAATAAAGGAGAATATTTGTAACTCAGGGTTGAAATGGGGGGGGGGTGTCCTTGATGCTCTCTGAGGTTGGTTGTTTTCTTGCAGACTTTTCATTGCCCAAACTAGGTAATAGCATCAGTTTATGAAATCTCAGAACCCTGATTTTCTTTAATATTTAGAGCTATACAGCTGTTTAGATTAGTTCACCCCAAAAAATGCTTCAGGCCTCACTGATAGCACACTTTGGACACTGAATCTAAAACATTACATATCCCCAAAATTATGTTCTAAATTTGGGACGCTTGCATCCAAATGTATCCATAAAAATAAGTTCTTAATTGGAAAAGAATCCAGTGTATGTATGGATCTAAAATCCAAATGTAAGTGACCCACTATTTTATGTTTTAGAAACAAGCCCCTTACATTTCAATTCAAATGAGAAAAATGTTCTATTATACACCTTTTGAGTGCAATTATATATCTTTATAAGCCTTCATTTTAAATATTTTGACACAGCCTTTTCAAGCAGTAGAAGCTTTACTCTCCATATAGCCTCTCTTCTATGCCAATGTAACAGCTTTGCTTTGGGAGCGGCCCTGGTCGCCAGCTTGTTTCTGGATGCAGTTCAAGGAGCTGGTTGCTTCCTATAAAGCCCTACATGGCACAGAGCCCAGTTAATTGAGGGACTGCCTGTCTCCCACAATATCTGCCTGGCTGGTTCACACAATCCAGATCCCATTTACTAAAGAGTGCCATTATCAGGACCACGGAAGTCTGTCCTCTTTGTAGCAGCACCTGTACTCTGGAATGAGGTTCCCCCGAGATTTGAATAACCTTCACCCTACTGGTATTTCAAAGGCCAGAAGATGTAGCTCTTTTCCCAGGCCTTTAGCAAGGACAACTGGTGCTTCTTTCTTTCTTTCTTTCTTTCTTTCTTTCTTTCTTTCTTTCTTTCTTTCTTTCTTTCTTTCTTTCTTTCCCTTGTTCCAATGTTCCATCTAGATTTGTTTCTTCGATCTTGTTCCTTTGTTTTGTATTTTTGTGTATTATTGTTTTTTAATGTTTTTTTAACCATCTGTAATCCGCCCAAGAGTTGCTGGGAGTCAGGAGGGATATAAATTTAATATTATTATTATTATTATACACACAGCAATTTATTATTAAAGCACATAATGGCAAGACTTTTCTGTGCAAAAGGGGGATTGTTTACAAGTTCTCAATAGAGACCAGCTGGCTAAAGCTATTGAGAAAAAGGATATACAAAACCAAGTAAGCATCAGCGGAAATAGAAACCAGGGAGCAGTGTGGAGCTTCACGCAAATCTAACGCTATGACAGCAGAGGTATGAATAATTTTGTTGCAAAAAACTACGGACTTTGAGATGGGATCTTAAATGGGATAGCTGCCCTCTACAACAGGAGTTCCCAATTAGGGGTGCGAGACGATATTCCAGGGGGTGCGAAAACTTGGGTTTTCAAAATTATAGTGTATATGCATAATTCGTTGCCGTTATTTCGAACTTTTGTAAGGAGTGCGAGAATATATCAGAAGTTCTAGGGGCGCGGGGTATAGAAAAGGTTGGGAGCCGCTGCTCTACAACATCAGTTTGCATGTTCATAATGACTCTATATGTTTTCAATGGACTAAGAATATTTTAAATAATTTTCACATCATTTCATGCATGGCGAGTATCATGATTCAATGCATTTTCATAAACTTTAAGCCCACGTTCATTACATTCAGTGACCTACAAAACATCCGCACAGCAAATGCTCTTTGCTGGCCAGCCACTCCTGGTGCTTCCAGGCTTGATGGGTTCCAATTGCCAGACCTTCCAGCCTTTGGTATCAGGTTGAGACAGACCTCATCTTTTTAAAAGCCGGATTTACCAGATAAACTGCTCCACGTCCGATTTATGTCCCGCAGGGCTTGCTTTTCAGAGATGGCTCTCTTTATTTCATCTAGGACTACGTTCAGCTCCTTTGACCGCTTGAGGCTTTCCTGCTCTGCAGCATGCAAACGGTCTCTCAGTGCTAGGAACTCTCGCTGATAGATATCCACAACATCACCTGAAACAAGATGAGGAAAAAGTAGGACTGTTGCAAGTGGAAAGATTATTATTTTGGGAAGTTATGTTAACCAATGTAGAGTTTTGCTAGTTTTTCATATTCTTTCCAAGGGGAAAGGATGGAGCAGGAAGGAACAAAACATCTTTTTTCTTCTGCTAACTTTGAAGGAATAAATATATTTTGGCCCAGACAGAGGCATATTAATTAGAGCAATGTGTTTCCAAATCAATTCTAACTAATATATTAGATTCTAAAAAAAATCTATGTTCTTATATTCATGGTTTATGCTTCTATCTAGGCAGAAGTTCAGATATTACAAATCATTTTAGAAATAGCACACAACAAAGTTATACTGTAGTTAAATGGTTACATATAAACCAGATTCCTTTGAAAGTCACCTTGACCAGCAAGCTTGCCACACAATATATATAATTGCTCTGTCAAAGTACTTATGGAAAAAGAGAGAGAAGCACAATTAGATATTGCAGTCACTTTATTCATTTTTTAAGTATTAATAGTGCATAGGGCAATTTATTGGTTCATGCACAACTGTAACAGGCTGAATATAGGGAGGAGGGGAATAGGGAGCAGAAGAATACAGTTATAACTGATTTTGGATTATCTCTGAGCATCCCAAATAAGGAAATAAATATCCTCACATAAATACAGCAATATCTAAGCACAAATTACAACAACAACAACAACAATAATATACCCTGTTTAACAACAACAATAACAATAATATACCCTGTTTATATGAGCATATATTCACATATGGACAAGTCCATGGAAGTTCATACTGTATAAGAGACAAGATTGTACCCAGTCTAGCAAATCCTGGCATTTTTAATTTATAAAAAGAAGTATTTCAGAAAATACTAAGTGGTAACTAATTCAATATTCCTAATTTCTCTTGGATTAAGTTCAAGAAGAGTGGGGATATTATTACGTTCTTTTTTAATCAAAAGGAAATGGTGTTTAAAATAGGACAGATAAAGGAGAAACCCCATACAGTACTGCAAATATTCTTTTGGCTTTTGTATGTTTTAGGGAGTCAATACAGATGTATACTTGAAATAAAGATTTAACTTTTCAAAACTGTTCTAAAGTTAAACTAGTTCTCCAATATTCAAAAGAGGATTTCTTTGTGGTAAATGATATTGTAATTGTTATTCCTATAGCACAAGTGTGTTTGAGAGTAGTTGTTTGAGAATCACAAAAATAGCCTCTCTGCAAAAAAACAATCTAAACAGTCTTTTGTTTATTTCCTAAAGTTATGATACTCTGTGTATAACTTGTGGGTCCAGGATTTTAGCAGTGAGAAGTTTAAGAAGAAGAAAAAAGCAAGCAAAGGGCTAAAATAAAATAATAGGCAAAGGATTTTAATATAAAAAAATGTACAAGGCTAAAAAACAAGAATCCATCATTCCACTACCAGTGCTCTATGGTGGGTTAGTTGTGGCTTAACAAACTAGAGGTGCAAGGTGTGCTTTCCAGCTATGCATGGAGTGACAGCTGCTTCACAAGCAGGCCAGCATAAATAATTAAAAAAAGATCTAGGACCTCAGACTGCCCCCTTAGCCAGATGACTCACAAAGTAGTTCTTGGAAAAAGAAAATCAATGAATGGAGATAGTATCTAATTATTACTGTAGGGTGTTAAGGATTCTCCTAACTGTGCTAAATAAAACCATACTATTGATTTAGCTAGAGGAGCATGATGAGCAAAATCAAATTCACATGATTTTTCAACAGATGATAGCAGATCAGCGGCCACTCCTCTCAGCCTTGATTTTATGTTTTACCGTCTTCCTTTTTATCTCAGTTCTTTCTTCCCTGTCTTAAATTTAGCCGTGAGTGAAAACCAGAAGATGGCTCTGCCCAGGCACTGCTGGCATAGAAACAGGAAGTGTACCTCATTCAAAGCATTTATGACCAAGGTAATTCTATGTAACGGAGCACAATTAGATACTTGGTAGCTTCAGCAAAGCTAAAGCTAAGGTTCATAGTTGACAAAAAATGTGACTAACACATTTTAGCCTACTCCATCCAAAGGACTAGTTAAAGAATTATTATTTTGCAAAATTCACCCATAAACAGAATGGTAAAGAAGTTTATTACAGGTGAAAACGTTTCTAAGATTGACTATCACATTTTCAAGCCATTCATTCGTTTATTTATTTAAAAGATTTGTACGGCCATCTATCTTGGAACACAACTGTGGGCAGCTCCCAATGAAACCTAAATATTAAAAAAAACATAAAAAGCAGAACAAAAATACTTTGCCTCAGCCATCTTCTTGGGATACTGGAACAAACTATCTGCAGATGCCCACCTCACTCTACCTCAGTGTCCATTTGGGCTGGACTCTGCTCTTTAATGGTCTTCCAAAAGGCTAAAAAGTAGGGACCTGCCAGACTGCTGCATTCACAGTGCTTCACACATTGTATAACTATGACTTGATATGTGTGGCTAACTGTGGCTTATTTGTGGCTTGGATTTTTTTGAGAGGGGGTGGTCCTCTATCCACATAATGCCAAACAACATTTTAGAATGGTCTATGATTGATGTGAAAAGCCTGATCCTTTCTGCTGCTAATAAAAATAAATCTCAGAACCCATTGCCCAATCCCTGAGCAATGAAAATCCTTTGAGATATCAAGCTTGCTGACAGTTCTTCTGAATTTCTCAGAGAAATACAGAATGTAATTCAATTTAAATAAAGGTTTCTAGTGATTGTAAAGAAATTTATTTCAAAGTAAAGTCCAAAGACTTCTCCCATTTGTATTTTTATGGAACAAATTGTTGTTTTTAAGGTATATATAGCTGTTGTAGGCATCTACTTCAGCTTTAGATTATGGAAATTAAGGCCAAATAGCTGGAAAGATTAAACTCTATTAAATTACTTGGTATTTCTTCTTCATATTAATAAATCAACCAACATTCATATGTTACTTATACAGTATGAGCAATGATGGGAATGAAGGGGAGTCATCCTTACTACATTAGATTTCTCAGTGGCTTCCTGTTGATCCCGCTGAATTATCTAAATCTACTGAGTATTGGAGACATAGTTTTACAGTGGTTATGCTCTTTCCTGAATGGGAGGTTGCAATCAGTTGTTATGGGGGTGTGAGGAAAAGTCATATCCTATCTTGTTTGGTTTGAATGTAAGTTTGTTCCTTCTTATCCAGATCCTGGCAGCTTAAAACACTGGGTGAGAACTTACATTTCCTGATCAACCAAAGGCAGACCTGCATTGTTGAGCATCATCAGCATATCAGTGATACCTGAGACCAGTTTAGGCAGATGACTTTTCCCAACAATTTCATTTTCTTTTCTTTTTAATGTTAAATAGTATAAAGGAAGGGACTGAGCCCTGATGCATTCCAAATAGTGTTCAAGGATATTACCCATAGTCAGTCCAAGCAATACAGAATGGGGACTGAATGGATATTCCTTTGAAGCTGATGGATTCTGGAATTATATTATATTTGACTCTCAATGAGGTGATGCTCCCCTGAAGAGCAGATGGAGGCTGTGTGCAAGATGCCTTTTCCCCCACTTTGGAACTAGTGTATCAAGTATGGCCTTACTTAAAATAAGGGGGTAATGAATATAGTTCCTCATATACCCTTGTCCTCTCCTATATGCATTCTGCAATTTCTTTTACGTGGGGCTGGTCTTCAAGACCATCAGCAAAGTGTAGCAAACTACATGCTTATGTAATGCCAATGCAGTGGGAGCTGCAATGGCCACTGACATGCTTCGAAGTGCAATATATAGCACTAGTTATCACCCTTGAAGCTTACTTATATGGGTCAAGGCTTGGATATCCTGGAGTGCCCGTCTCATATAAACTCTGCCCAGGGCCACAGAGAATGCCTAATGAAAGCCCCCATCTAACAAGTACTGTGACAAGAGGGGTTGAAGGCAGGCCTTCTTAGTTGGGATTCCCCTTCCCCAAATGGCTTTCCTCTCAGGCAAGGGAGGTTACCATGCCTTACAGAGACTTGAAACATCTCATTGTTTCAGAAAAGTTTTGCAACTGTAATATTTTTAAACTAATTATTTTTGTACGCTGCTTAGAATATCCTAGCTTAAAGTATTTTGGAAATTCATGAATAAAACGTTGAGAAAACCAGTTCTTCATGAGTGGAAAAGAAAGTGGCTCTTTATAATATTAATTAGCTCAAATTAGTGAAGTTGCCAACTTTACTCACAAGTTCAATTTTCCAATCCTTAAAATTGATACTGCTTTTATTAGAGCAATAGTATTTACTTGATGAAATTTGCATTTTTGTAAAAAGAGGGTCTGTGAAATAAAGTCAAGAATGCTATTCTTTCACTTCCAAATCTCTTATACAAATCCTTGAAACAGTACAGTAGCACAAATCAAGATTACTTAGCAACATAAAAAAGTCTCAAACCCTTCAGAAGATCTCTATAGCACATGGAGAATGGAAAAGTCACTGATTATCAGTCATGTATTGTCTGCCTGTTTCAATATAGTGTTGTATTTCTCATTAAATTGCAAAGATGAGGCACCTACCAAAAGATTTCCTTTCATTGACTATAGTACAGGGGTCCCCAACCTGTGGGCCATGGCCCAGTACCGGTCCATGGCCTGTTGGCCACTGGTCCATGGCCTATTGGCCACTGGGCTGCAGGAATGGCTGGCAAGTGCATGCATGTGTGCGTGCACTACCTCCACTCACACTAGGACCACCGCAAGGGGGTTAGCTGCTGCATAGGTGCTAGCAGCCCCATTTACGCATGTGCCTGGGTGCTAGGGACCCTATTTGTGCATGCATATGGGCACTAGCATCCCCGTATGCATGTGGATACTAGGCTGGCACCAGTGTTGTGTGCGTGCTAGCAGCCTGTTTGCGCATCTGCATGAGTGCTAGCGCCACTACCAGCGCCACTGCGGGTGAGTGTGGTTCCATTTGCAATAAAGAGCAAAAAAAAGAAAAAAGAAAAATTGTTAAAAAAGCAGCTT